ATGACCCCTGCCAGCTCCCTCAACACCCTTGGGTGGAGGGCATTTGGACCTGCAAATTTAAAAATGTCTAGCCCTTCCAGAAGATCCCTAACTACATCTGCACTGACTGAAGGCTTGATAGAGCTATCCCCAAGATTGTCCCTACCTCTGGTAAGTGGGATATCCCTGTCCCTGTTCAGGAAAACAGAGACAAAGAAACTCTTAAAAATATTGGCTTTCTTGTCTGGTGTGGCCACCAGGTTACCGTTTGTGTCTTGCAGGGGCCCTACAGTGCCTGGTGCCCTCTTCTTGTTCCCAATGTACTTGAAAAAGGACTTTTTGTTGTCCTTAATCCTGGACGCTAGCCTGAGTTCCATCTCTGCCTTGGCCTTCCTAATAGCCCTCCTACACTCCTGGGCCGAGGAGGAGTACTTCCTCCTAGGTGATAGTTCCTCTCTTCCACTGGTTGTATGCCTCCCTTTTAGTCCTCAGGCATTGCTGAATGCCCTTGCTGAGCCAAGGGGGTTTCTGAGCACTCTTAACCTGCTTTCTTCTCTCAGGGACTGTTATCCTTTGGGCCTAGAGGATCGCCCCCTTAAGGTATGACCATCCCTTGTGGGCTCCCATCTCCTTTACCTTCTGGGCCCTTAGTGTCTCCCCCACTAGTCTCCTAAGCTCATTGAAGTTGGCCTTTCTGAAGTCAAGGGCTTTAGCCTTCGTGTGAGCCCTAGATGCCCTGCGTTGGATAGTGAAATCCAGCAGGTGATGATTGCTATTGCCCAGGTGGTCAAGGACCTGCAGTCCCCTCACCAGGTCATCCCCCGTGGCCAGGACCAGGTCCAGCAAGGCATTACCCCTAGTGGGGCTGTGCACTTCCTGGATAAGGTGAAGGTCCTGTAATACAGCCAGGAACCTACGCGAGCGGTCAGACCTGGTTGTCTGCTCCTCCCAGCAAATGTCTGGGTAGTTTAGGCCACCCATGACAATAACATCCCTTGACCTAACCGCCTCCATAAGCTGACTGGAGAAGTCCTGGTCTAGCTCTTCCCCCTGGTTGGGTGGTTTATAGTAGACACCCACCGTAAGGTCCCTTTTGCCATGCCCCTCTTGTAGTTTGACCCATAGTCTCTCTCCCCGACCCTCCTCTAACCCGAAGCTAATCCTTGATGATGTGAGGTACTCTTTGACATAGAGCGCAACCCCCCCACCTTTCCTTTCTGTCCTGTCTCTTCTATATAGGGTATACCCCCGAACGCCCACCACCCAGTCGTAAGTAGGGTCCCACCAGGTTTCTGTGAGTCCTACTAAGTCTGGGTTCTTACTTGCAATCAGGAGGCGTAGTTCCTCCTGCTTACACCCCATACTACGAGCATTAGTGTAGAGGCACCTGAGGCCTCCTGAGGGTGCTCGTGCCTTCCTCCCACTCTGAGGACAGTTGTGGCCCCCTGCTCCTCGGACGTTGATACTTACCTGTGCTTCCCTTCCTCTTGTCACTCTGCGTCCTGGTGAAGCATCCTCTCCACTCGAAGCAGCCCCTTCCCCCGGCGAAGCTAGTTTAAAGCCCGTCGTACAAGATCAGCCAACCTAGAGGAAAAGATATGTCTGCCATTAGGGGAAAAGTGAAGCCCATTCCACCCCAGCATGCCCTCCTTACAAAAACATGGGTCGTTGTCAAAAAACCCAAAGCCTGCCTCGTGGCACCAGCTCCGAAGCCGCCGGTTAACCATGTCAATGCAGGCCTCATGACGCCTACCCCATCCACTTACCGGGAGAATGGAGGAAAATACCACCTGCGCTCCCACCCTCTTCATTTGGTGTCCCAAGGCCTTATAGTCCTCCATGATGTTATCCGGTTTGCCCTTGGATGCATCATTTGTACCCACATGGACCACAACCAGTGGGTAGTAGTCAGACGGCTTGATGATTTTAGGGATGGTCTCTGTGACATTGCGAATCTGAATTTCAAAGGACATGCAGTGTTTTAACCTATGGAATACTTATGAGTCTAGCTTAGCTGTAGTGAAATGGCACTCTTATTGCCCTAGATTCACAAGTATATCCTTAGTTGGTGGCCTGTCAATAAAAAGGAGCCAAGTGAAATAAGTAGTCTGCTATAAATTGTGTTTGTAGTTTTAATGTATTAATTTTGAAAAGGAAGCTACTAATGATTAAAACATTTTAAGAGGAAATGTGCATAAATTTCACTAGCTGTGTTACTTGTCACTGAAAATCGGTGTCTGCGGGAAGAACAACTATTAGTCTTTAAATATAGCTAAAAGCTATTTATACAAAAATGTAAAAAGTATGCACATTGACATGATTTTTTTATTTAGCATTTAACAATAATACAAATGCTAAATATTTTTTTACAAATGAAAAGCAACTAACAAATTAACTGAATATGGTCAAACGCCAAGAACATCTCTCTGAAACTTTATTTCATCTTTATGTCCAGGCATGCATAAGACACTGACTTTTTGACCAATAATTCATAGAATCATAGAAAATTAGGGTAGGAAGGGACCTTAGCAGGTCATCTAGTCCAACCCCCTGCTCAAAGCAGGACCATCCCCAACTAGATCATTGCAGACAGGGCTGTGTCAAGCCAGGCCTTAAAAACCTCCAAGGATGGAGATTCCACCACTTCTCTGGGTAACCTGTCCCAGTGCTTCACCACCCTCCTAGAGAAAGTTTTTCCTCATATCCAACCTAAACCTCCCTTGTTGCAGCTTGAGACCATTGTTCCTTGTTCTGTCATCTGACATCACTGAGAACAGTCTAACTCCATCCTCTTTGGAGCCACCCTTCAGGTAGTTGAGGACTGCTATCAAATCCCCTCTTAGTCTTCTCTTCTGAAGACTAAATAAACCCAGTTCCATCAGCCTCTCCTCATAAGTCATGTACACCAGCTGCTGAACAGTGCCCTAACCATTTTTGTTTCTCTCCACTGTACTCTCTCCAACTTGTCCACATTCTTTCTATAGTAGGGGACCCAAAACTGCACTGGCAAGGCCACATCTGGAGTACTGTTTCCAGGGTACAGGGGAATAATCACTTCCCTCGATCTGATGGCAGTGCTCCTACTCATGCAGCCCAGTATGCCGTTAGTCTTCTTGGCAACAAGGGTACACCGCTGATTCATATCCAGCTTATTGTCCACTGTAACCTTCAGCTTCTTTTCTGCAAAGTTGCTGCTTAGCCAGTCAGTCCCCAGCCTGTAGCAGTGCATGGGATTCCGCTGTCCTAAGTGCAGGACTTTGCACTTGTTCTCATTGAACCTTATGAGATTTCTTTTGGCCCAATCCTCCAATTTGTCTAGGTTCCTCTGAATCCTAGCCCTACCCTCCGGTATATCTACAACACCTCCCAGCTTGGTATCATCCAAATACTTGTTGAGGGTGCACTCCATCCCATCTTCCAGATTGTTAATGAACATATTGAACAAAGCCGGCCCAGGACCAACCCCTGGGGCACTCCACTTGATACTGACTGCCAGCCAGACATTGAGCCATTGACTACTACACGATAAGCTTGACAATCCAGCTAGCTTTCTATCCAGCTTGCAGTCCATTCATCTGACCCATACTTCCTCAGCTTGCTTGCAAGAATGCTGTGGGAGACGGTATCAAAAGCCTTGCTAAAGTCAAGGTATGTTGCATTCATTGCTTTCCCCACATCCACAGAGCCAGTTATCTCATCATAGAAGGCAATCAGGTTGGTCAGGCATGACTTGCCCTTGAGCTAGCCCCTCACTGAAGCCTCTTAATGCACCAGCCAGGCCCGCAGCACATTGAGCTCAGAGGGAGCAGCCCTGGCTCCATGTTCTGCACCTGAATAAACTGTGGAGCTTATTGCTCTGGAGTTGATTGTTCCTGGACACGCATTCAAATGGCATGACCAGATCAATAAGCTCCGCAGTTTATTCAGGTGCCGTAATTGCACATGTAGATGCACCCAGTAGAACATTATCCCTTTAGGATGTCAAGTGTGCATTGTCAACAATAAGTTTTGTTGTTTGTATCTGCTCAATATGCCTTTGGCTGTGCCAGATGGCCTTTTTCCCCCTCAGTGCCTACATTTGAAATGAACTATGTATTTGTATGTTCAGTATTGCATATAAAGGTACTTACTAGGGTATCAATCACAGTTAATGTGTGCGATTAACATGTTAATTGGTTCACACATTACTTTTTTAAAATACATTAATCACACAGTTTTGTGGCCTCCTCCTGGGCTCTGCTCCGCTGCCTCCAGGCCGCCCAGCAGGGCAGTGGTGGCAGCGCAGAGGAATGCAGGGTAGCCTGGGTGTAGGCTCTGGGTGGCTGCAACAGGAGGAGGGGTGCGTACACAGACGCACACAATGCACTGCAGCCTGCATGCTGCATGTTAGAGCAGTGCCGTGCGGGTAAGTCTGTGGAGGGGGAGGGGTGGGGGGGCAGATCGAGGTGGGGGTGGAGTGAGGTCAGGGACTGGGGTGATTGGGGCCCTGGGGCTGGGGTGGATCATGGGACGGAGCTGTGAGCATGGGAGGCATATACCCCCAGATTTGTGCATGGGGAGAGGCAGACTGCCTGCTGTGGGCTGGGGCTCTGCGTCCTGCTGCCTTTGCCCTGGGAGCCATGCAATGCCATGTTGTGTCTCCTAACGCTGGGTGGGCAGGGGGTGTGGCACAGCTGGAGCTGCTGGGCAGAAGCAGTAGGGCACAGAGCTCCAGCCTACCTCTGCCCCGCGCACAAACCCAAGGAGCATATGCCCTCCATGCCTCCTCTGGGGGTGCATGCAGTGGCAGGGAGCCCTCCACCCCCATGCCCCTGGACAATCTGCCTGCCGCTTTGTCCCATGATCCACCAGTGCCCCAGTCCCTCCCTTACCATGGGGGCCTCAACCTGACCCTCCCCCCCATACCCCTTCCCTTCACCATAACCCTTCCTTCCCTACAGACTTACCTGCTTGGCTCTGTGTGTGTGTGTGTGTGTGTGTGTGTGTGTGTGTGTGTGTGTGTGTCTGCCCCTCACTCTGATGTCACAGCCTCCCCTGCCCTGCTGCTGCCCCACACTCCTGCCTTCAGTACCCTGTATCCTGCCAGGGTGTGTGTGGGCCCCCCCACACACCCACTCCCCAACCATGCAAAGCACCTGCATAATTTTGCATAATTTTAAGTTTTTCTGCACATAATTTTGAGTTTTTAGCTCTCCGATTAAAATCGTGATTAGTTGCAACTCATATTTTAAAATCATGTAGCTAATGACCATCACATTTTTTAATCATTTGACAGCCCTAGTGTGTGTACACAGTTCCCCAGATCGTATGTATAAATACTCTGGGTTTTACTGTTAGACTAGAGAAGGGAGCTGAAAGGCCTTTATCTAATGGATAGAGTTTGGGGTAAATCTGTGCCTTGCATCATGTTTTTTCTATCAATCAATACCCCTGCCTCATTAATCTGTGCTCTTTTTGTAAAGGTATGTTCTATATCTAGCTTACAAGCAATTAGTGTTGCACATACATAGCTATCAAGCTTAAATATGTTGAAATTAAAATTCTTAACATAAGTAAGAACTATGGTCATGACATTTTTTCATATGAATGGAAACAAATTTTGTTAAAGGAAAATTCATACTATGTTATGTTAAATGTGCACATATCAAATATAAGTACACAGCTGGCACTTGAAGTAGTGTGCATGGGGTTAGAGGGAAATGTTTGCTATTGTGTCCTTCTTTAGCTCTTGATTACCATAATATATACACTCAGCTCTTGTATGTGCACTTGGAAGATAATGAGGTCTGTTTTCAGGAAAAGCATTCCATTGACTCTGGCTTTGTATGCTGACATTCAGCTGAACACAGTGATCCTGGGAAGATTAACAGATGTGTTTCTAACAATTTTTAAAAAACAGATATGAAGGTTTGGTCTTTTAGAGATGTTTCATTTTCATAGACTGAAAAAGTGACATTTAATCCATCTGTGGAGCTTCCTCTCTGATTAGTATATCAAGTGTATCAAAGTATTGAAGTGTTACAAGTTGCAGTGTGAAGAGTCACTTTAAGGATCTTTCTGCCTTCCCATCTTGAAGAATCTAGAGCTATGGGATCTTTTGCTGGAGCAAAGCCCCCATTCACGAACTACATTAATTTAGTGTCCTAATATTGATAACATAAGGTGTTCAACCCCTGAGGGAAATGGCTACCCTTATACTTAGTTTATTTGTTAGATTTTCTATATGTCTGTAAATGTAATTAGTATTGAATTATGTGGTTTCAAACACCTGTGAAAAGTTGATTAACTTTCTAACTCTTATTTGCAGAGAGCTCTCCAAGTTTAAAAACTACATAAACCCTATAGAACTAAGAAGAGCTTCTATTAATATCTTGCTGTCCTTGTTGCCCCTCCCTCATCATTTTGGGACTGTAAAATCTGAGGTAATAATTAAGAGGTTTGTTTTCTCTGTTATTTCACATTTTATATATATCCACTCTTTCAGGAAAAAAAATTAACAGTTACAAGTGAAGTTGCAGAGTTGGCCTCTTGACCCTGTGGTTAGTCTTCTAAACCACTGTAGAAGAGGGTCTGGGTTTGATCTTGCTGCTGAGACTGATAATGTTGTGGTAGCATGCTTAACTCTTCATGGGCCGTGTGAAAAGTGAAAGCAGATAACATGTTTTGCTCTACAGTTGTTTTCCTTGGCTAATATATAAACAGCCTTGATAGAGATTCCAAGGGGAACCTCTCTTAGACTAGGGAAAATTTGACAATAGAGGCTGTAAACTTGTGGAGAGAGAGAAGAAATGCATTTTATTTCTCTGATTATTAAGTGTAACTCTTAAGATGGTAGAGTTTAGGGAGCAAAGTTTATCAAGTTCTGAGATTTGGATAAGTTAGAAGTCTTCCAAGTTTTTTTTTTTTTTTTTCCTGTGGCAAGAGAATATTACTTCTGTCTGACATTGTATTCTCGTTAATATTGTACCAAGGCTATCTGCTCTGTTTGGCCATGACATTCTCTTATCATGTTCTTCTTTTAAAAGAAAATATGGGACAATTACAGATATTTGTGCTGGGATTAATTAAATGACTTTAACTGTAAAATGAATCATATAGATGCTGGTGATCTAAATGCTGATATCCATGTCGGCACCCAATTATATTAAATTAAATGTGTTCTTTCCTCAGGTTGTCCTGGAAGGAAAGTTCAGCAATGATGAGAGCTCTTCTTATGACAGACCTGTAACCTTCCTTTCCTTGAAGTTGAGGCTTGTGAATATTCTAATAGGGGCTTTGCAAACTGAAACAGATCCCAACAACACCCAGATGATACTAGGTTATCTTTTTTTATATTTAATTTATAAAAAGCTTTAAAAAATCTTTCTCAAGCTCAGTGTTAAAATTTTCAGTGTTGTACAACAGAATATGTACAAACCCCCAGTGATCACTTATAATTTGCCTGTTACTCTGCAAGCAAAAGCAGAAATGTTATGTAAAAAAGTGTATTTATAATGCATTTTATCATGGAAACATTCAGACAGATACCTAAAATGCCTTTATATATTTGTTAGGGAAATAGTATTCTGCCTGTTTATTAGATGGGGATTCATGTCCTTGGAGGTCAGAGATGGAGAAAATCAATTAAATCATTTGGTTCCTGTCCCTGCTAATGCAGGATTGTTGAATGCCTTACTTGTGTAACAAAGGGGATCCAGTTGACACAACTTTTTGAAAATCCCAATCTATTTTCTACAAGATTCCTCAACAAAGGCCTTTAAAAAAAATTCTGTTGCCATGGAATCAGAGGAAAGGTTCTTTTGTGGACTGAGAACTGATTAAAAGATAGGAAGCAAAGGGTAGGGCTAAATGATCACTTTGCAGGCTGGAGAGAGGTCAGAAATAGAGTCATACAGGGATCTGTGCTGTACTCCACTTTGTTCAACATTTTCATCAATGACCTGGGGATGTATAGTGAAATTTCTGGGTAGTCAAATGCTAAGCTGATGGAGAAGAAGTGCAGATCTTACTAAGCTAAATGAGTGGACAGAAAGCTGACAAAGGAACTTAAATGTTGATAAGTGCTAAGTAGAGCATGTGGGGAATAATATCCTCAACTATATATACACAATGTTGGGTTCTGAACTAGCTGTTATGACTCAGGAGAGACCTTAGATTCCTGCAGATAGTTCTCTAAAAACATCAGCTCAGTGCATAGTGATGACCATAAAAGCCAATAAAATGCTGGTCATCATTAAGAGAATTGAAAACAAAATGTAGAACATCATCATGCCATTATACAAATCCATGGGGTGCTAACTTCTTGAATACTCTTTGCAGTTCTAGCCTCTGCATTTCAAAAAAGGATGCAATAGAATTGGAAAAGGTACAGTGGAGAGCAACCAGAATGATTAGGGGCATGTGGAAGTTGCCATACCAGGAGAGCCTGAAAAGGCTAGGATTCTTCAGTTTGGAAAGAGGAAGGCTGAGAGGGGAATGATATCAGTCTATAATATCATGAAGGGTGTGGACAAAGTGAATACACAACTGTTATTCATCAAGCCGACAATACTAGAACTAGGGGGGCCCTGTGTAAATTAGTAGGAGACAAGTTTAAAATGGTAAATGGAAAAAGAGAGCTGGAGTAAAAAACTACTTAAAGGCAAAGGTTTTCTGCATGATTTCTTTTATTGCTCCAACTGTACATTTGAGGTAGACTTAGAAAAGGTTTTGAATGCAGTGTATTCTTTTTCAGGTCTAAGAAAAAAGACACAGCAAAAACAGCCCTCAGGGTTGTGAAATATAAAAAAACAAACAAACAAAAATCCTCAGAGCTAACCAGCAGCCAAGCACATCACAAAAGAAAGGATACATTAATTAGTGGTTGAGTGGTTATTCTGTAAAAGGCATCCTCCTACATGTTTTAGTGTGTGCCTCTTAAAATTTTTCCTATGTTAATTTCTTTTGCGTACATAATTTTAGTCTAGATCAGTGTTTTCAACTTTTTTGGACTCGAAACACCCCTCCACAACTTTTTTCAATGGAGTGGCATTCAATATCAAAAGCTAATTTGTATATTACAGAGCTTACTTCTTGCAGAGGGGCCTGGCAGTGGGGGTGAGGGATCGGCCAAGCAGGGACAAGCTTGAGCCTGCACTTGCTTACCTCCTCGCATCTTGCTTATCTCTTCAAAGGATCTATCAACAGCCTGGCACCCCGTTTGAGAATCACTGATCTTGTTTCACTTGCATAGTTTGCATGAGAGTATTTGGCTCACTTGAATGAGATTATACTAGAGTTGCACTGATATAGCTGTCCGTATTGGATCAGCACCAATAAAAGGAAAATTGACATTATTGGCAATCAGCTTTTTTTGGCCAGTGTAGCTGATCATGTCACTGATAAATGCCGCATGTATGCATGCAGCTGCAGCCTGCATGCAGCCAGGAATGAAGCCTTGCAGCTTGGAGACCCGCATCCAGCTGGTAAGTCTGTGGGTGGGAAGGAGCGTGAGAGAGGGGAAGGGGCATGGGAGGGCAGGTTGAGGCACCCATGGTGAGGGAGGGAGTGGAGCTGGAGTAGGCACTGCCCAGCTAGCGTGGGTGTGGGGTGGAGCTGGGGGAAAATCATCCAGGGGGTGCGGGGTGGGGAGGGGCAGCTCCCTGCTACTGCACACAGCCCTAAGGGAAGCATATGCCTTGGATTTGTGCACAGGGCAAGGGCAGGCTGCCCACTGTGGGCTTTGGGCCAGGGGCTGTGCTAGTCTCTTTCTGGTGGCAGCGGGGCTGGACCAGAGCTGCACTGGTAGTGGAATGGGCAGCAGCCACACTGGGCGGAGGGCTATGGGGAATTTTTGGGCAGCTGAAGCCAACCCCATAGCCACCCCTCCCAGTGTTGTTATGGCCCACTCCAGCCCAGCACCCCTGCTGGGAAGAGGCTGGCATATCACTTAGCCCTACGCCCACAGTGGGCAGCCTGCTCTCATCCTGCGTACAAATCTGGAGGACACATGCCCCCATGCCTTCCCCAGGGGTGCTTGCAGTGGCAGGGGGCCACCCAGATGAGTGGCCCATGGCTCCATCCTGCACCCCACCTTGCCCCAGCTGGGCAGTACCTATCCCTGCCCTCACCCCACTCCTTCACCATGGGGGCCTCGATTTGTCCTCCCCCGGCCATATGGCTGGTTAATAATTCGCCATTGGTTTCAGCCAAAATAACTATTTATTGGTGCACCCCTAAATTATACCTGTTTTGGGGTATATAGGTGTAGGAACCACAGATCCAAATGGGTTTGGTGTGGGGAGGTGTTGACAGCTTTTGAATCTGTTGTTAAACCAAGGCTATGTCCTATTTGATGCCTGTTGATCAACAAGGAGTTTGCTTCTGATGAGTTGGGCAAGGTTACAGGGTTGTTTGAAATCTAGTGTTGAGGAAGGGTGGGAATATGTCTCAAGATCTAATCTTTTTTGAGTATAGGCTGCAATTGTTTGATGGTTCTTTTTACTCATTCAGGTATGGTATGGAAGGTGACCACCAGGGATGTCGTCATGGGTTTGGGTGAGGGGGGTCTTTTTGTATTGTAACAGGTTATTTGGATGGTCTGTTGCATATTTTCTGAGAGTCTCTCTTCCCCAGTTTCACAGTCCTGAAGATTGTTTTTAGTTCTTGCTGTGCCTGCTTTTTTCTAAGACTTGAAGATGAATTCTCTGCATTTGAAAGCTTATCTAAGTCTAGCCCAACCATGCAGTTAGGTCTAGTAAAGGATATCACCCTCAAAAATTCACTTTGCATATGTCCTGGACTGTTATGGTCACAACATCACTCTAACACTGCTATAACTGCTGAAGGACAATATGCATATTATTAAAGGACAAAAATACTTAACTGCCCTTTCCCATACTAGTATTCTTTTCGCAGCATCTTTATTTTCCCTCTTTGTTTCTTCCATTCCTTCAGGGAAGAAATATTCTTCAAAAATAGTTACAGGAATATTTTCTTGTTGATTTCTTCAGAATTAGATGGGAAAGGAAGACTGTTAATTTTCTGAAGGAATAAGAACTTTGTTGTCTTGTATACGTGAGAAGGAAAAGATGAGGGTGGATGGATGAGGAAGCAGGGAAACGCGTGTGACACTTTTCAAAGTTTCCTTTGAGTGGTTGAGACAGTCAAGTTTGCTGGCATAACTTAAAAGTATGAGTTCTGGAGCTAGCTGGAACAGAAGAATTGTTGTAGCCAACCCCTACACTAGGGGAATATTAGTGTATTTACACCCTTGATGTCTATACAGAAGTAATTGTAAAGTGAATCATCTAAAATAGATTCAGTCAATCAAAAGGCAGAGAATTGTGCAACCAGAGAAACTGTGGGATTATGCACCAGTAATTAAACAATTCCTTTTCATTTTGTCTGAGGAAGTTAAGTTTAAAATAAAATCCTAGCATATATCCCCTTATGCTGCCAATAGGTGTCCCTTTATGTTGAGAGAGAGAGAGAGAGATTATACAGACTTGTGCTCCTCTCTAGCTCACTTACAAGTTGAATTTTAACTGTTCTGTACTCAAGTTTTTAATTTCTTTCATCACCTTTGTAGTTTTCTGAACTCCTTCATTTTTAAACATCTCTCAGATTAGTTTTGTGATCACTTTTTTAACGTTCTAACATTCACTTCCTTTATTATATTTGGTTAAGATCTTTCAGACTGGTCTTAACACAACCAACCATTCTTGCCAGCTTTCATAAATGAGTTTACCTTTTTTATTCTGTATAGTGTTCATATCCAAGAAAACTTGAATGGGAATACAGTTTCACAAGGTGCATTATCATATTTATAAATAACACAGTTAAATAAAACTAATGTTCCATCTTCCTTAAAAATATTTCTCTCTCTCTCTCTCTCTCTCTCTGTATATATATCTATATATCTATATCAGGCATTAACAAGCATTTTTATCTTCTGTCCAGATATTGTCTAAACTAACAGTGCAATAGGATGCCTGAAAACATAGTTATATTTGCCTCTCAGTAGTATGGTTCTAGCTCTTAGTGGAATCCACTGAGGTCAGGGCCCCATTGTGCTAGGCGCTCTACATATACTAGTGAAAGCTCCATTTAAATCAAATGTTTTAAATGTTCAGCCCCATTTAAATGACTCTGATAAAAATGTAGCTTTAGACTAAAAGCACCATTTCATTTGGTCTGCCACCTATGTTGAATTTTAGAATCTGAATGAAATTCCTATGGGTGTTATAGAACCCTAGATAGGTTGAATTTAAAAGTGAAATATTGACACATTTTTACAGCTTTTAGTAAGACAAATACTGCCTGTGTTGCATATGAAGTGTAAATTCTTACTGTTTTAATGTTGTAGGTGCAATGTTAAATATTGTTCAAGATTCAGCACTCTTAGAAGCCATTAGCTGTCAGCTGGAAACGGTAAAATGTTTTATGATAAAGCTATTAACACTTTTTAGAAAATGTATTACTTATACCTATATTTCTAAGTTTTCTAACTTGTTTTCATTAGATTTGACCTTCTTATTCTTCCAGTGTATCTTCTGAGGATGTTTTTAAATGTGTTGAAGATACTAAAGTTTATAAAGACTGTGAGGTCTCTGCCTTCATGTAAACTTTTTCAAATTACAGAATGGTGGAGAAAATAGCCTCTTGAAAAGCCACAGTCGCACTAACAGTGGCATTAGTACAACAAGTGGAGGAAGTACTGAGCCTACAACGCCAGATAGTGAGAGACCAGCACAAGCTCTTCTACGAGATTATGGTAAGGAATTAGATTTTTTTTTTTAATTTAAGAGCTTGCCATTAGATCTTTAAATGTTTGAATTTGTGTGGATATATTCAACTAGAGGGTGGATAATGCAATTAGTTCCTTGTATCTGGAGTTTTGTGGTAAACCTGAATGCTGTTACTGGAGCCTTTGGTTAGTATGCTTTTAACAATAAAACGAGCTTGAAAGCTGATAAGAAAGGGAAAGGAAATAGTTGAATTAGAATCTGATTTAAAATCTCTGAAAGATCTGCCAGCAGTGGGGCAGATCTTCAGCTGATGTAAATTGTCATATCCCCGTTAATTTTGATGCAGGTGTGACAATCTACAGCTTGGTAGCATAACTTGGTGTGCAGATGAGGTACAGAGGTGGGGGTGAGGCACAGAAATGGCAGCTGGCACCACCAGTGACCTGACCAGCACTATTATCCTGGCTATCACCTAGGGAGCAAAACTTCCCAGTTCTGTCTCTGGATCGGCTGCCCATCCTAGATCAGAGTTTTCAGTGCACTTGGGGGATTTTTGTTTAAAGGATTAAATATAGTCCTATAAAGTAGGATATATGCTAGTTAAACTGCTGGATGTAATGTATTATAATTTTATATTTTGACTTCAGTTTGTTTTAGTTTGTATTTTGCGTGTATTTGGGGGGGGGGGGGGGGGGGGGTGTGGGGGGGGGGGGGTGGTTAGTCCTTGTAATAAAATCTGCGTGTAATGATTCAACAGAGTTTAGTGAAATCTTTGGGTGTGGACACACACAACCATTCCAAAATGGTGCTGATTGGAAATCGGCTCACAACTGAGAGACATATAGATGCGGACATACATAACAATTGAATCAATCTCAAATATCACTGATTAGGAACCACTTCACAGTTGTCTACAAAGTGTTGTGGTTCTAACACCAGTGGGGTGTGGGTGAGCACCCAGTCCAGCATGTCTTGCAATGAGTGAATGGCATGGAGAGCACTTGCACCCATGCTTTGGGGGTTCTAGAGGATGGGTAACCTGTATGTGGCAGGGCATCTTTGTATGTGCCTGCCACTTTAAGGGTTGGAAGCAGGCAGCTGTGGTCATTCTCAAAGGCCAGCCAGGCAGAGAGAGCAGTTAGAGACCAGCCAGTGGGGAAGAAACATCTCCCTGCTGAGCTCCAGCTCCAGGAATACCTTGGAGGTAAGGGCAGGAGCTATGGGGGTTGGCTGGAGGCTCCTGGTTCTGAGTATGACCTAAAAGTGTACCCTGCTGGGGAAGGGTGGCCTGGTGGGACTCCCTGTGGTGGGGGAATCCCTAAGAAATGCAAGGTCAATTACCTCCCTGATGAAAGGCGAGGAGGGGCACCTGAAAATCCCAGCCCCCACCTGCTGGCAGGTTACAACACTGGAAGGGAGCAGGGCCAGGCAAGCCCGGTGAGGGACACCTGAGCCCTGTGTAGTGGAGGCCAGGCACGGTGTTAACCTGAGGGGGGAGATCCCATTGTAGTGGGGGACAGGCACAGTGTTAGCCACCTGAACCACAATGGGTGAGACCCTAGTGTAGGGGGCCAGGTATGGCGTTAGCCACCTGAGCTCCACAGGGTGCAAGACCTGGAGTGAGTGAAGCAGCCCAGTGAGGGGCCAGAGTGTAGAGCAGCTTAGTGAGGTGGCTTGTGTTTGAAGTGGCCCAGTTGAGGGGCTGTAGAAATGAATGGCCCTGGTGAGGGGGTAGAAGTACTTGGAGAGATTACAGAAATATGGAATGTGCAAGTACAGAATTACTGGATGTGACACAGTTACCTAGTGAGAGAATGCAGAATACTGAAATGAGGGAATACAGAATTACTAGATGCAACAATGTAAATTACTGTATGTGTGAATATAGAAATACTAGATAGAACTTAGATGCTGTCTGCAGGGCATTGGACACGTGTAAGGGAAGGTTGGAGTGTGCAGTAAGGCCCTTGTCATCAGGAGGGCGAGCAGTGGGCAGCCTCCCGCTTTGGTAACATTGTTCATACTTATTTTCATCAAGGCATGGCAAGCAAGTGAGGCGGGGGTTTAGCCCTGAACAGGCGGGCAAGGCCAGCATGTTGCACTGTAGCTGAGGGAATTTTCACTTTTCTGTTTTCCTTTGTCTCCTAAACATGAGTTCAGTAAAGTTCAACAGCCTGCAATCGACCAAAGTCTGCAGTGTGTTTGCCTGTCTTGGGTCTGGGTTGAAGGGTGCTGGGGAAGGGGACTGCTTGGGGCATGGAGGCGGGAATGAGGAGTGATTCAGGATGGGATGCCTAGATGATCAACCAGACTTACGTCATGGAATGCTTAGTATCCATACACTGAATTGGTTCATAGTGAACTGGTTTAAAACAGTACTTGATTTTCTAGGTACACTTTTGAACCATTTCAGGTGGCTGTAAGCCAGTTAAATAGGTTTGTAGGTCTATCCTCTTCGGGTTTACACAGCGTTTAAACTGACCTAAGATTTTTAGGTGTGTCCATGCCCCTAGATTCTCATTTGTATCTATTTGTTGGTCTTTGGTGATTTTAGTCAATATTTGCTAGAGTATCTGAAAACAGACCACTTTGTTGCACTTTTTATTGGAGATGTAGATTCGAAGTAGGGGTGCACCAATAGAGATTCTGCAGGCCGATACGGATAGCCAATTTTTAAGGAGGCCTATCGGCTGGTACTGATCCAATTGCTGATACAGCTGCATCCAGCTGGTAAGTCCGTTGTGGTGAAAGAGGAGGGGGGAGGGAAGGGGCATTGGGTGGACAGATCAACGCCCCCCGTGGTGAGGGAGGAGTGGGGCTGGGGTAGGCGCTGCCCTGTCAGGACAGGGTGGGTATGGGATGGAGCCATGTCTCGTTTGGGGAGGGGGGTGGCTCCTGCTGCTGCATGCCACTGGTCCAGGAGTGGCTCATCTGGAGGCTTATCTGCTAGTCCGGCGGCTCCCACTGCTGCTTCAGCCATTCGTCTGGGAGGGTGGGGAGGGGTGCTCCTGGATCTGTGCAGGTTGGGCTGTGCGGGCTTCAGCTGCAGGCTGGGGCCAGAGGCTGTGCTGCACTGAGTTGTACTTGGAGTGGGCACTGTCAGTGCTGGGAGAGGGCTACGGGGGGGGTGGGGACTACAGCGAAACTTGAGGTGGCTGCAGTGCTTCCCCCCCCCCATAGCCCCCTCCCAGCACCACTGGCGCCTACTCCAAGAGCAGTGCAGCACAGCCCCTGGCCCCGGCCCCAGCCCGCAGCTGTAGCCTGCCCGGTCTGCTTCATGCAGATCTGGGGGCACACGCCTGCCCCACCCCCTGTGACCTCCTGGACGAGTGGCAGGAGCAGCAGCGGGAGCTGCCAGACGAGCAGACAAGCTGCTCCCGGACCAGTGGCGTGCAGCAGTGGGGAGCCACCTCCCCCACTCCCTGCGCTCCCTGGACGAGCAGCGGCTCCATCCTGTGCCTGCCCCGCCCTGGCTGGGCAGCACCTGCCCCAGCTCCACTTCTCCCTCACCGTGGGGGCCATTAATCTGCCCCCCCACATCACTCTTCTCTCCCCCCTGTCCTTCCACCACAACAGACTTACCAGCTGGATGCAGCTCTCCAAGCTGTTCGGCTGTGCTCCTTGCTGCCTGCATGCTGCCCTTTGGTTGCTCACACGCACGGGCGTTTATCGGCCACATTAGGCCAATTTCCGATATAGTCAATTTTCTTTATATCGGTGCCAATCCAATATTGGACCGATGTATCGGTGCACATCTAGTTCTAGGAACTGTCTCCAATTATCGGCTTGAAAGGTTTCCCTCTCCCCCCTTCAAAGGGATTAATGGGTGGGAATAATCTGGCAAGGTTCTTTGGGTAGATGTGATATCTTTTATTAGACCAACTAAATAGTTGGAAAAAGGTTCTTTGCAAGCTTTCAGGCACAAACATCTGCCTGGCGAAGGACGTTTGTGCCCAGAAACTTTCAAAGAACCTTTCCAACTATTTATTTGGTCTAATAAAAGATATTGCATCTACCCAAAAAGCCTTGCCTTCCTATGTCCTTAGACCAACATGACTACAACCAGCAACCCTGGGTGTAATCTGTGTGTTCTCAGATTTCACATGCAGTTTAACTCTGTCCCTTCAGGATTTGAGTTTGTCTGAAAAGCCTCACTTGAGAGAGTAACACTGTTTTTTCAGCGCATTTTTATATGCATATTTAATTGGCACGATTTTGCACTGAGGAGTGTTTCTGACAAATCTTATGTAAAATATCTATTTCTTGGGTTCAAAGTAACCTTTCACGAAAGACTCGAGTTTCTTAGTGTTTTAGCCAAAAACATTTTAGAACTGCTCACATGTATTGGATTTTTAGTTTTCTCCAGGCACAGAATAGAAACCTAATTTGGGAAATCCCTAAAAGTAGTTTCCCTATTTCCATTAGGCGTTAGAAAAGAAAAGTTCTGAAGAATCAAGATGGACAGTTTTCAGTCTTTTTCTGTAGCTGGTATTTGAGTTATGCTGCTAGTTAACAAAGAACACCTTGTTAAAAGTGCGGGTTTTAAATGTCTCCTACTCTGGTTTTAGAAAATCAATATATAATGATCTTCAAATATGAGATCAGTAAGATGACAGATACTGAAGACATGTTTCCTGTTTAATTTCAAGCCAGAGGTGTAAGAAAAGTCTAAAATAATTGCATCTTTTTCCTCTAGTCTTTAACTTTAGATCTTGAGAAAAAAATTATCTTTGTGAAATGCTATAGGAAATTTTCAGCATTTGTATTTTGATTGGACCTCTATTTATCATTTATATATTAATGCTGAGATTCGCTGTGTTTATTCTGGAACTATAAATATGGGGACTGTATTTCCTGAGTCTCAAAATGGCACATTCCACTTCCCTCCTCTGTTCTTTGGCACATTTGGCACTCTGAGCTCTTATCTTAGAGTGCCTGGGAGAGCAGGGCCGCATGACCGTGTTGTATAGCTTGGATGAAGAGCTCTGCTTTTGTCATATTTGAAATGGAAACTTTTGAAAATAAGACAAAAATGGTTATTTGAGTAAACTAATGGGATGACTAGACAAGCATTTAAAATGACTGTCCTGAACAAAATGGAGTATATGGTCACCCTAACTATGGGCTCTCACAAAAGCATAAATATTATAGCAAAAGTTTGGTTTTATCCTTTAAATGTAGTTGTTAAGGTGTGGCAACTTAAAATAGTTTTAGATTAATTATTCTAACAACATTTAAATTACAATGTCAATAAAATGTGTGTGTATATTCACAAAGATACTAGAAGCTAGTCTAATTTAGGTGTAGAATGTGCAGGAGTTCTATGTCAAATGCTTAACCCATGTGAAATGTGCTAAATGTATAGCTTCTGCAATGTATGTCAGTTTTATTTTCTGTGCTCATTGTGGCTGCTTGGCTTGTGCCTTATTGATTGCTTTGCTTATTGTTACTAATGCTTAGTTGTTTTCCTTCCCTGTGGTATATGGTATTGGGGTTATATCCTAGCTCTTAATACAGATACAGCTGCTGGACTACTGATTCGCAGTATTCATCTTGTAACCCAAAGACTCAACTCACAGTGGAGGCAAGACATGAGTATTTCGCTAGCTGCATTAGAACTTCTTTCTGGATTGGCAAAGGTGAGACCTGAATTTTCAAGAATTAATCTAGTTACTGTATGTCCTGCAGAGGGAAGCAGAGCTATCATTTATTTGATATGAGAAGGATATTCTGTCACTACTGCTGGTGTGATTTTTGTGGGCTGAAGAATTACACGTTCAGGTTTTTTAGTGGAAATTGTAGTTTAAAAGACTTTTACTGCGACTTGTAGGCTGGAAAGCTTACCAGGATAGTGAATTAATTTTGAAGATCCTTGCCCCACTTGCTTCCTTTCCCTCTCACCTTGGAAACAGTCATTTCCTCGACTGAGAACATAAACATGAAAAAGAAGTTTTATTTTTCTACTCAAACATTGTATTCTGCTGTTCAGCTTCAAAGGAACCACAGCCTGCACACTGCATTAGCGCAAGCCATGGGCTGCTAGGCTGCATCCCCTCCCCCTTTCCCCCTCTACTGTTGTGCTGCACATGCAGGTGGCCCGCACCTCAGCTCCTTGACTGCATACTCCCCACTGCACCATACCAGCAGGCTTATTTGGTGCTGTAGGTTATGCTACGCTGCCTCCTTGGGTGGGAGCAGAAAGCAGAAGCTGTGGAGGAGGGAGGGGGAGCCTGGAAACCAATGGGAGAGAGCAGTGGTTTGGGGAGGGGTGACCAGGTGGTACTGCAGAGGCTGCAGATCAATGCCTTACAGGCTGCATGCAGCCCTCAGAGCACCAGTTGGATGGCTGTGGTCTAGAGCTAATGGTCTGCATCTCCTGCCCTTTCCATTTACCTGAATGTTAACACTGTGCAGCCATTCACTTTAATTAAAAAACTGGTAGAGACCTGCCTAACAGATAACTAGAACAATATTCTTTCATCTCATTGTCTTCTGGCAGGATTATACATATGAGAAACCCTTGTAGAAATCAAGTTATTGGATAAAAAATATCTTTCCTTCTAGAAATTCCCCAAAATAAAAAAAAACAGTTTATGGGCTATGTCAGGCTGTATCCTGGCAACCTTATGGAACCTTTGGACATCTTTTATAATAAATTCACTGAATTGTTGCATGATGCCACACTCAGAACTTTAAAAAATACAGTTACACAATGGGTTATACCTAGCTGGATGGCAGTACTATGAAAAAAGATCTGGGAGTCTTGGGATATCATAGACTCAACATGAGTCTGCAGCATGGTGCAGCTGCACCAAAGGCAAATGCAGTTTTGGGATGCATCAATAGAAGCATTAGGTGCAAGACATGGGAAGAGATAAGGCCTGTCTAATCAGCAGTGATACAACTACGGGTGCACCGATAAAGATTTTTTGGTCTGACACTGATGGCCGATTATTAATGAGTCATTTCGGCCAATACCAATCCGATTGCTGATATGCAGTCCAGCAGCTTGGAGAGCAGCATCTGGCTGGCAAGTCTGTTGCAGGGAAGGGGCATGGGGGGTACAGATTGAGATCACTGTGGTGGAGGGGAGGGAGTGGGGTTGGGCTGGGGCAGGGGCAAGCGCTGCCCAGCCAGGGCAAGGCAGGGCATGGAATGGAGCTCCCAGTGGCTCGTCGAGGTGCTGCTGGGAATGGGATGGATCCCGCTGCTACATGCACCGCCGGGGGAGTCATAGGGGGTGTGTGCCCCTGATCTGTGCACAGGGTGAGAGTGGGCTGCTGCTGGGGCCAGGGGCGGTGCCAGGCTCTTCCCAGTGGGGGGTTGGGCAAAGGCTGTTCTTGGATTGGGGGGATGGCAGTGCTGGGGTGGGCTACAGCCACACCGAAACTTTCTGTAGCCCCACCATAGCCCTCTGCAGCACCACTGCTGCCCACCCCGAGCACAGCCCTAGCACCACCCCCGGCTCCAGCCTGCAGCAGCAACCCACCCTTGCCTCATGTACAGATCAGGGAGCACACGCCCCGCCATGGTGCCCTAGGGGGTGTGTGTAGTGGGGGGAGCTGTGCCGCCCCCCCCCCGGAGTCTCTCCCAGCTCTGTCCCATGTCTCGGTCCACCCCAGCTGGGCAGTGCCTACCTCAGCTCCAGCCCCACTGTCTCCCTCACCACAGGAGCCTCAATCTGCCCCTCCCCCCCATGCCCCTTTTCTTCCCCCCCAAAGGACTTACTAGCTGCTCTCCAGGCTGCTGGGCTGGCTGTGCGATTGCTGCAGCTGTGCATATGCATTTATTGGCGACATTATTGGCCACATCAGCCAAAAAAATCTGATTGCCTATAATGTCAATTTTCCTTTTATCAGTGCTGATAGGATATGGACCAATGTATTGCTGCACCTCTAGATACAACTTCATCTAGAGTGTGTTGTGTCAAGTTTTCAGCTCCATACTTTAAAAAGGACATGGAGAAATTGAGGTGACAAAAATGATAAAGGCCTTGGAAGGCAAATCATAAGAGGAAAGGTTGAAGGAAATAAGCATGTTCTGCTTGTAGAAAAGGTGCTTAAGAGGGAACACAATAGCAATCTTCAAATACCTGATGGGTTGCCATAAAGAAAAGGCAAGAACACCTTTTCTCTCTTGCTGCAGAGAGCAGGACATAGACTAATGGCTTGAAGTTGCAGGAAAGTAGGCTTAGATTAGATATCAGGAAAAAGTTCTCTGTTAGGACAGGGAAGCAATAGAATAGATTGCTTAAGGAAGGTGTGAACTCTTCATCATTGGTGGTGTTCAAGAGGTTGGGCAGGCTGTTCTAGTAGTAGCTATGTCTGTGCTCTACTAAGGGTATTTCCCAAGCTTCTTGGCTTTTCTCGTTGCCACATGGGGATGGGATGGAATTTTTTTCCACCTCTTGGTGCTACCTGTCAGGGTGAGCTTGTGTTGTTTTGTTTTTTTAAAGTCTTCCTCTGAGGTATTGGGTGTTGGCTGCAGCCAAGGCTGGGGATTTTGGCTGGGGTGTGCCAGTGCTGCTGCTGGGAGTTAAAACCCTGAGGTTCCTGGCTAGAGGGTCTTGGCCCTTTGTTCAGGGTCAGACTGATTGCCACATTTAGGATCAGAAAGAAATTTTACCCCATGGTCAGATTGGTACAGACTGGGGGGGCGGGAGGGGGAGGGGGGTTTGCATGGCCCTCTTCCTTGGATTTCTTGAGCAACTGTGCACCAGCAGGATGTTGTCCACCCTAGTCCTCCTCCTTTACCTGCAGCTGGTTAGGATGCTATGTCTTGTGATTTTTGTCAGGGTTGACTGTAGTTTTGTTAATAGGATAGACAGTGGATTTGTATGGGATGATTTGAATAGGTATGGTTGAATAGCAATGGTTCTGTCTTAGGGTAGGGGGGTTGGACTAGGTGGCCCCTGGAGATCTCTTCCAGCCCTGCTTATCTGTGCTTCTATGAAAATTAGTATTAAAATTATTTTAGGGCTCTTGAGGCATGCAGATAAAGATGAAATGGGATATGATGTGTGATCTGCACAATCATGCTCCCTGCCATGCCACCCAGACATGGCAGGAAGTGCCATGCCATGTGACTTACTATATTGACTCAAACACAAGATGAGGTGTGTTTTTCCCCTCCCCCCCCCCCCCCCCCCCCAGTGGCATGGGGACAAAGCCCTTCATTTTATAATCACAGACAAGGAAATCTCATGAAATACGGTGTCTATCATTAACCTGCTGCCAAAAGCAGCATGTGCTGAGCAATGAAAACCAGCTGTGAAGTTGATTAAATGCAGCTAATGCTGAGCAAGACAATAAAGCACATGGCATGTGCTGGACTAAATGCTGATTTTTTTATTTTTTTATTTTTTTTTGGAGGGAAAAATATGTCTATATATAAATAGATAGCTATAAAAATATACCGTATAGCATCCTATTCTTTACAAAATGTAACCCCCTTTCAAAACCTTGTACCCATCCCAAAAAACTCACATCCACACACCCATGCACTCATTATAATAATTGTATCCATGCTCCCACCCACCCGTCCACATTCCCTTTCCTTATTACATTTATACCATCCCTTGGTTCTTACTCCAGTTCTGAGCTTTAAGCCTTCAGTTTGTTTGCTGTCACTGTCGCAGGTGGTTCTGCTGCTGCTGCTATTGCAGCTGTCCTCTTCACTGTCGCTCAACCTGATAGACTCATTGTCTCCTTTGCTGTCACTGTCCACTTCCCCCTGAGGGTGGGGGGGTCTTTGAAGAGCCTGGGTCAGTGGTCCCTTTGCCAGGTGGAGTTGGCCACCTCCTCCCCATCCTCTCCTATTGATTTTCAGTAGTAGGACTGGAGTTCACTCAGTACCATTTTAACACAGTTTTCTTCCTTGAGTTTTGTGTGACTGCATATCAGGAGGTTCCTGGACTTGCACAGGGTGCTTCTGATGCAGGACGTGACCTGATCAAAGGGGGCTGTTTGGGTTCCTTGGTGTTTAGACAGGTGCCTGTACAGCGCTGCCTCTTTTGTCATCAGTACAACCCCTGTCACTGCTTCGCAGAGCCAATTTACATTTTTCCACACTGCCCTGGTGTATGGGCAGAGCAATAGGAGGTGGTGAATGGTCTCTCTTGTGCTTTGGCAGATTTCCCTGGGGCAGCTGGGTCACCCTCTCTGCCCTTCTCTGTGTCTCCACATCCTCATTGGGATTGCACAATGGGCTATTAGCCAGTTTAGGTTTCTGGGTCCTTTCGTAGGTTCTTGTGAAAGATCCGCTCCCACACGGCTTGGCAGCTGTTGCTGGGGAGCAGCTCCATAGATGACAGCATGTCTCTGTTTCTGAATGCCTCCTGTATCTTTCTGTGATTGGACATAGTCGCAGGGCCTTTGTTCTGCAGCCTGTACTAAGTGCGGAACTCTTTCAGGACCTTGTAGAACCACAGGTGTTCCATGATTTACAGTCTCCTGTTGGACAGCACAAACACCCCCCACATTCTCAGTAGTGCAGCCCATCTAAATAAGACCTGTGGTAGTGCCCATTAAGCATAGTCCTCCTCATCACTGACTCTTCTTAAAGTCATGGTGAGCCACTACGCTGCGTATGTTTTTACTTCCTCTTCACTCCCATGGTTGGGTAGGGGGGGCTGGGGGAGTGGGCAGGCCGGTGGGTGTCCCCCCCCCATAGTCCCCTTCCCCCTTCTCCAGCCCCGCTTGATCCCTTACCAGCACTGGAGCCCTGGTGCTGCACTGCCTGGCTGGCCACGTGTTCAGCACCAGGGCAAGGGGCCAACCATAGAGACGCTCTGGCAGCCAGAGTGTCTCTGCGGAGGATCCAGCCTCCGGTTGCCTTGCTTTTTTTAACTTTGGATATCCAGGGGTCTAATTTTTTCCCTGCGCTGCAAGTTTGCAGCGTGGGGAACATTTTTTGTTCCTGCAAGTGCCTCTTGCCCCTTCTCAAAGGGGTTTGAGATGGAGCAAGAGGCACATGCGTGCTCACCCGGATGTGCCCAGCTTGTTCCTAGATCCTGCTCTTGGATTGGTCTACTGGTTTCCTTGTGCAGACATGCCTTTGGGGTGGAGAAAGAGGTAAATGTTATCCTCTCAAGTGCTCACAAAATGTAGTTATAAAAATGGTAATCTAGTATAACTCCGGTGTAATTTTGACTTAATATTTTTATTACCATCCCCTCATTTCCTCTTCTAAGATGTAAACCTTTTGTGGGAGGAACTGCTTCTCATTTTATAACTATGTACAGCATAGCCTGGTGGCCTTTGGTGCTCCCAGGCCTTTGATATTCAGTTAATAGTAATAATAATATAATCCTAATGCCTGGAAATAATCACCAGAATGTCACTGAAAGAGCTATAACTTGATGACTTAAGAGCAGTAGTTATAAGAATTGGATAGCTTGGCATGCATTAGATTAGCCTTTCTCCAGCCTGCTTTTCAATAAGACTGGAATAGTCTACAGCAGGGGTGCCTACACTTGCTCTGTGTCTCCATCCAGATCTGGATCATGGGTCAAAGCCAGCCATGGCGGTGGAACCTGTGGCAGGGAAAGCCCTGGCTGCAGTGAAGCCAGTGGCAGAGGCAATGGGGCCAAGCGGGCATGGGCCAATGGGCTGCTTGACATGACGGAGGCAGTATATGTGATGAACGATGATGATAGGCCTAGTGGCCACAGGGTGAGTAGGGCTGTGTTGGCACAGCCCTTGCTCACACCCCTGCTGCTGAGGGCCATGTCCAGTGGGGCCCCAGTGACAGGCCCTGCACCCCACAGCCATGCCCCCAAATTCTCTGGCCAGCTTATCACCCAGTGTGCTAGATCTGTCCTGTGGGGCCCATGTGTTTGACACCCCTGATCTGCACTAGACAGTTTTCCTAGTGAAACTTGAAACTTCTCATGTGTAGCTGAATTGTATGAAGCATGGAAATCCAGTTATGGTTGACTGCAGCAACTTTGTGGTTAGAGGAAAACAGTTTGGGAGGTCAGGAGAGAGAAATCCAGTAGTTCTCTATTGCCACAGTCTTTGTCAGTTTGTAGTACTACTCATTAATCTCCAAGGTTTTGGGTCCAGGGGGATTCCCACAAAGGACAAGTTGCTATCCATTTGCATACAACTGAAAATTTGCCTCTGCTGATTTGGGAAGAAGCCAGTTAGCAGAAGCAGCAAAGTATTCATTGAAATAATGACCTCTGCAGACTGTTTTCTTTTCATTTCCTCCTCTATGAGGAAGTTGCCATTTTGTGTTAGAATGCCATGGTTAAAGTTACATAAAAGGGTAACTTGTGCCAGTGCTGAATATGCTGCTTTGTTTGGTGATGCCAAAAATCCAAATAAGTGGACTGGTTTAGCTACTGGAATAAGAGGAGGACCTCCCCCATTGATTTCTAAAATAAAGGAGATCAAACATGAATTCAGCTTCCAAGATGACCCCTGTGAACTAAATGGTGCCCTTAGTTCTTTCATGCTATATTAAAATTCATGTACAGTTGTCTTGCCATGATGTTTGTGTATTGTCACTGTACCTGTTTTACAATGTTTTCAAGTTTATTGGAGAGCAGTGCTGACCTGTTTCTTTGTCTTTTCATAGCATTATATTAAGAAGCATTAAAACAAGTTACATTTTCTTTGAAAGCATTCTTGAAGAAATCATTAGCTGATATTGTCTCTGCTCTCTGCTGCTTGCTTTATTTAGGTGAAGGTTGTTGTTGATTCATCTGACAGGAGGAGAGCTATTAGTTCAGTATGTAGTTATATTGTGTACCAGTGCAGCCGTCCAGCCCCACTCCACTCACGAGATCTTCACTCTATGATAGTTGCAGCATTTCAGTGCCTCTGTGTCTGGCTCACTGAACACCCTGATATGCTGGATGAGAAGGTAAGAGAATTGGTGCTGTTCCTGTCCAATAGAGGGAAGTTAACATCAAAAACTACATTTTTGATTTATTTTTTTTTGCTAGCTTTTGCTAGCTTTGGTACTTTTATTCCACTATTTCAGTTCTTACAGGGAAATTGCAGACACTATAGAGCTGTGGTTCTCAACCTTTTTGGACTTGAGGCACCTCTCCATAACATTTATGAATTGAATGGCACCCAATTTCAAAAACTAATTTATGTATTACAGCTCTTACCTCCTTGCAGTGGGGTTGGGCTGTGGTGGTTTTGGACTGACCAGGCAAGGATGAGCTTGAGCCTGGGCTTTTCTATATATCTCCTCACACCATGTGGCACCATTCAAAGGATCTGGCAGCACCTGAGGATGCTGCATCACCCTTTTTGAGAATCATTGCTTTACAAACAGGAAATAGGGTAAACTGGAAGTGCTGTGTCACCAGGGATTTGGGAAGAGGAGGGGAGGGTACGTGACCAAACCACAGTCTTAGAACCAACCCTGATCCAAAGGGTGCCAGATAGGGAATCCTCCCTACCTCCTATTTATAAAGCACTTTTCCTGAGTTCCCTTAAAACACAGAGGGTTTGGACTGCTTGTACTATTTAATAAAATGTTCTTTTAGTTTACAAAGAAATCACATGATGACCAGTGCCTTGGCCACTCCTTGCTCCCTTTCTTCTGCTCCAGATCCAGATATTGCATGAAAGATTGAGGTAACCATTTGGAGAATGTAGCACTTGGTAGCATCCATATGCACCATCAGCTCCTTTACCATGGAGTGGCATGGTACCATGTCTCCATGTTGACCCATTGGCTCAAAGGGGCTTGAGTTCCAGACCACTGACATTGCATGCGTATATGCTGTTGGGACAGTCTCCTTATTTTGGGATGTGCCTCAAAAATGTACCTTAGCAACAAGCTTGTACTGTTGACGGTGCGTAATTTGAATTGACAACACATCATTGTCACACTAAATTCCTTAGGAGAACCGGATATGAGTGATTTGCTTTTAACTATTTGTCCCTTTGCCCTTTAGGACTGTTTAAAAGAAGTGTTGGAGATTGTGGAATTGGGTATCTCAGGAAGTAAATCCAAAAACAGTGAACAAGAGGTCAAATACAAAGGAGATAAAGAGCCAAATCCTGCATCCATGAGGGTGAAGGATGCAGCTGAAGCTACATTAACATGGTATGGAATTCATCAAAATGTTGTTAACTGTTTGACAGGGTATTACTACAGGGGAAAATTGAATATTAGAACACCATTTAATGGGTGTGTAGGCTGGCTTGGTAGACTGGACAAGGTGGGGTATATAAACAAACTTTTTACTTCCTACCCTTGGAAGTAATTACAAAAGCAATATTTTCCTTTTGTTCTCATTCCACTTCATAGCAAAATGTTATAATATTTTATATGAGTTGAAAAATGACTTCATGTAATTACTAAGACATAACTATTTACTAGAATTCAGAAGGCCTAAGAGTCTTTATTTTGTATTCTGTACTAGCATAAGCTCTTAAATGTTTTTTTTCTGGGTACCTAAAGTAATTGCTTGAGAGGGAAGAAAAGCCCTGTTAAAGTTGCAAGGTCTGGTGTTGACCTTTTCTTCAGGTCAGAACTTAAAGTGTAAACTTCTAGGGTAGAAGTCAGGTAGGTGACCCATAGCAGTCAAGATTATTCTCAGTCACTGCTTTTGGGCAAAAAACTTCTGGAATTTAAATAGGAGGCATTGCTGCTCCTTGCTATGAGGAAGGATGATAGCTGAGAGAGAGATTCCTGCACTGTTTCAAATAATTATTAATAATTATTTTTCCATAACATGAAGGAGTCCCACTGTGGCATGTTTTGTATGACTATGTAGTGTTTGTTCCAGAAAGCTTATCATTTGCGAAATATCTGAAGCCCACATTCCCACAAACAGCAGCATGCTTGAAAGACTAGGCTCACAATGATTCTTCTAGGTAATCTACGCAAAGAAACACCAAATCAGTCATAGCAGAAGCACGTGCTATTGCTTCTTGGAATTCAAGAAAGGCTTCTAAAATAAAGGTCTCAAGATAATAGCATTCATTGTTATATAAAAAAGGATTTAAAATATAAACAATAAGAACTTTTGTGCATAAAGTCATACCTGAACTGCTAACTTCCTGATTCAGAAGAAACTTTCCCAGTTCTCACGCTCTTTATTTTCTTGTGGTGTTGTTTGCATGATCCTCTGAAACTTTAAGTTAATGGTTGCTGTTGGAGGCAGGATCTTATGGATCATTGATCTGTTCTGTTATGGTAATTACTACTGTATTTATTCACATATCATAGGCAGACAAGGTTCTTTGGGTGAATCTGATATCTTTTATTAGACCAACTTAAATAGTTGGAAAACAATTATTAAGCAAGCTTGCAGGTTCAAAAACCCTTCATCAGGCTAAGGAAGTTTCTGCAGTTGGTGTGTGCTCTTCCTGGATGGAATGAAAAGTAAAGAAGCCAGAGGCTGGGCTGGTATGCATACAACACAGGTAGTCTACATTTTCACTGACTGCCTGTCTGGTATGCATACCAGCCCAGCCTCTGGCTTCTTTACTTTTCATTCCATCCAGGAAGAGCACACACCAATTGCTGAAACTTCCTTAGACTGATGAAGGGTTTTTGAACCTGAAAGCTTGCTTAAAAATTGTTTTCCAACTATTTAAGTTGGTCTAATAAAAGATATCAGATTCACCCAAAGAACCTTGTCTGCCTATGTCCTTAGACCAACATGGCTACAACCTACACTGCTGTTCACATATCATATGCTCTTTTTCTTAAATCTTAGTCTTCCAAAATTGGGATACATATTTTAAGTGGCAAAGCTGACTTTCTGCCCAAAATAAAAGCCTGGAGACGCATAACATGGCTGTTGCTTTTTTCCCTTCTCTTCCCTCCAGGAGCTGCATGGAGGGAGGGGGGGAGTTCAGCAGGGTCAGATCTGAGGGGTGGGGAGAAGGGAGAATGAGCTGGTGCAGTGGTGCAGTCGCACCTACCTTGCTTTGGATTTCCTGATCCACACAAAGTTTAAGACCAACTGCCTGGCAGCAAGAGTGGCAATTATCTTCAGGTAGTTCTGAGGGAGTTGAATTGCTTCATATGTCATTATAATCTATCTAATTCGTACTAATTATTCTTCAATTAACAGGTGTTAAAGGCACTCTCTTTTTAATGGCCTCTATGTTCCACTAATTAAGCTATTCTTTGTTCAACTATTTTGCTACTCCTAGTCTTTATTCTCCTGTTTCACAATCCTGCAGACTGTTTTTAGTTCTTTTAAAAGTTCTGAGTCCACCCATGGAGTCTAATTCTCAACAGTAGCTATAGTTTCAGTTTTTGACTGAGCATCCAAGAACTGCTGACAGTTTAGCTGTGAAAGTGTTAAAATTAGCTTTTGCCTAAGTAAGAAAGGGAAGATGAATGAGCTGAAGACTAGGCTCTGTCCCTATTCTTTGTGGCCATAACTAGAAATTCTGTTTTTCCCAAAGGTGGTGTGGGTCTTATTTGGGTATGTGGTATGTGAGAAAATATGGGTATGTCTGAGATGCAAAGAGAACAAACAAGTACATAAGTTCCCATCTCAGATGTATGTGGAGGTGAATCTTTTTCAGCTGAGTCTTTCTCTGATTTTGCAGCATTATGCAGTTACTGGGAGCATTTCCTTCCCCCAGTGGCCCTGCCTCTCCTTGCAGTTTGGTGAATGAAACCACCTTAATTAAATGTTCTGGTCTGCCTACTATAAACAAACACAGCTTTCGCTACTTTGTTTTGGATAATAGTGTCATCCTTGCAATGTTGGAGCAGCCTCTAGGGAACGAACGGAGTAAGTTAAACATTTTGTCTTGGTCTTGAAGATTAAAACTCTTTGTAATATATCTGCAAAATGAGTTCATTTGGTAAAACAGCCTTTTGCTTTTTACATGCTGAAGTCTTAACTGTTCTATGTATGTACAACTGAAGTGTTCAACTCTGCATAAAATTGCAAGAATAAGGTCAACAGTGTCACTGTTATGCCAGTGTGTGTAAACTCTGCCAGACTTTCCCAACAGCTACACTCCAGTTAATGAGATCACATGTCTTTATATGACTGCATTGTAAATACAGTTGGAGGAGTAATAGTATTAACATTTTAGAACATGTTAAAAAGTAAAACATCCCACTGTATAAAAGGATTAATTTTAAAAATGTTTGTCAGGGTACAGGAATTTGGCTTTAACCAGTGATGACTGTATGTAGTTTTAAATTTGTATAGTTGCTTTTACTCATTTTAGTTCTCCATTTATTATTAAATGTTGTGTTGGTGCTAGCAGCCTGCAGATGTAATGACTAATTGTTTTGCAGTTGTAATGGCCTTCCTGTGAACCATTGCACTTTATCAGTGGGCTCAACTGATAACAGAGGTATAAAACAGGCTTCTAGCAGCCCTATGTACCTTTTGAAGAAGAAGAGAGTTAAGAGTAAAACTGGTGTTTTGGAGAAGGGCTGTTCAACTTGCAGCCCATAAGGGATTAAGCTGCAGCTATGGGCTCCTGTCAGGCTACCACTGCCCCCATCATTCTAACTCAGGGGCAGACAATTATTTTGGACAGAGGGCTGCTTACAGAGTTTTGGCAAGCCATCGAGGGCCGCGTGGGTAGCTCCACCCCTTGATAGGTGCCCCACCCCTTGGTTGCCATCTTGGGACTGGATCCCCTAACCCCTGACATTTGCCACCAGAAGTCCCTCCCCTTGCCCCCCCGGAAGGACTCCTTTCAGCAAGGGGGTTTGCCATCTTGGAACCAGAAAAATACCAAATTATATTCTAAGTCAAAAGTGTACTACAACATTCATTAATTTCATTTAAAAAAATATTTTTGTCCTGATTTACATGATTGTGTGTAGTATACATAGAGATGATAGTATTATAGCTTAAAACGAAGTCTAACTCTTTCATATTGTGGGTGGGTGGGTATAGGTTTGTGGGTGTGTGGGAGAGGATGTGTGGGTGTGTGGGATTGGGGGGATGGATAAGCATGGGGGGTTGTGGGTTTTGTGGGGTTCTACCCCCCAACTGCAGCAGGTAGATCTCCTGACAGCGCTCCTCCAGGGCCGGGCACCACGCTCCTGCTGCTCCTTGCCTTGGGGCACCGACACGGCCTCGTACTCCCACTCGCTGCTACTTCCCGTCATCTGCCACTGCTGCCCTTCTGCTACTTCTCCGTCCCCCTGCCCTACTGCTTGCTCCTTTGGCATCATGTCCCAGCTGCTCCTGGAGTCCTACTGCTGCAGCTGGGAACTGCATGGTGCTGGAGCTGCCAGCCAGCTGGTGGGCAGGGGAAGTGGGGAAATGGCTGCAGCAGGGGCCAACTTGCTGTGTCTACCTAGTTCTGCCTGAGGCTCCCCCTGGGTCCTACTGCCCCTGGCTCTTGTCATCTTTGACAGGGGCAGATAAATATTCATTTTCTAAGTTTTTTTTAGGCTTCCATTTCCTGCTCCTGCCTGAGGGTAGGGCAACATGACCTGCAGAGCCCAGAGAGCCTGTGGTACAGTGAGCTAGGGGGCTAGAGTTCACACACGGCACACTGCAGCAGAGGGGAGGTGAGAGGGCTGTCACAGTGCAGTGCATGGGCAACTGGTGCCTCCCGAGTCTGGGGCGGGGGGCAGTCCAGGGCAGAGGGTCACCTAGTGGGTGATCGCTGAGCCAGCAGAAACCGAAAGTGCACTTCCGCCAGCACTTCCAGTTTCATGACTGGCAGTTCCAGGGAGTGCATATGCACCCGCGTGCACCCCTTACGCGTTGCCAATGGTGCGGTGAAGGGCGGCTTCGCTTGTCATTTGGCCCAGGGGCAGGCCCAGTAGTCAGTATTGGCAAGGGAGGCCCACATGGCATGCAGCCCCTAGCTGCTTAGAAGCTGGACAGTCTTGCTTTAGAGGTAGACAAATACTTACTGAAAATCACCTTGGCTGTAAGCAGACATCTCATGTAAGGCAGTCCTGATTGATCTGAGCAAAACCTGGACAAAGGGAGTGGCATAGCCCTTTACACCAGTGGTTGCCAATCTTGTGGGACTCAAGGCACCCTCCATAACTTTTTGGAATTAAGTGGAACCCTATTTCAAAAACAAAACTATTTATTACAGTGTAGAAAAATGACTGGAAACACCTTATTTTAATCAAACTGGACCCCCCCCTCCCCCGTGAATAACTATAACATAACACTATTATAATGTATGGGCCAACTGAGCCTGGCAGTTCTTACAAATATCTTGAATTTGTGGTAAGTTAAAACGCACACTCTTGGTTCCTTTTCCACTGAAAGAAGTCTCTCTCTCCTTGTTTTTTATATTCATTAAAGCAGGAGCCCCCAGCTCACATGAGTCCCATATTGAAAATTGCAGCAAGATTTTTACAACTTTTTTTTTTAATGTTGGATTATTGTTTGGTTAGCTGAACCCAGAAATGATGCAACGGTACTTCATGACATTTCAGTCTCAGGGTCTGATCTTTACATATATCAGCCAATTCTTGTTCCTGTTTCTTGAAGTTTCAGTAAATGGGTTTCTCACTCAGCTGTATTCTGCAACATCCAAATTGGGAAGTATTTTTGAATCTTCTCTTCTAGAATTTTCAAGTGATCCAATATCAGTGGCAGCACTTCTCTGTTGTTTGATGCAGCTGTGAGAAGAAACATTTCTAGCTCTCTGACATTACCTAGTGCCTTTCAGATCCATATCTCATCTATCAGGGTGCAAAGTTTAGCAGAAGAAGTTAAAATATTCTCATTTGGACCTTGCATGCTGGTATTCACTTTATTTAAATACAGAAATTTGTTGACAAGTGTCACGGTGCGGGGTCCTGCAGGAGGGCTGTGATCTCCTCAAGGCTCCCTTCCCGTGCCAAGTTGGCCCAAGGACACCCTCAAATTCTCGCCCGCCACATCTTTGATGACACAATATATTTGTGAGGCTGCCTTTTACACCCTCTTGGTCACATCTTGATGGACACTAAGACCCCGTGGTTTCCCGGACCCCTCGTGGGTCCCGTTCTGCAATGGGTGCTGTAGGGGCACCCTAGCCTTATGAGCTATGCGTGGCTCCAACCATCCCTTTACCACGCCCCAGGCCTCGCAGATGGAATAGATGTTCTGTCCGGGCCCTATTATAATTCGGCCCCCTTGTCCTCTCTGGGCCCTGCGTGGCCCTGTCTTGCTCTGCCCCCTTCTCTGGGGCTTCTCCACAACAGCGCTGCCCCCTTCTCTGGGGCTGGGGTCAGTGCACCCCGACTGCTGTGCCCTCACTGGCGCTGGGGTCCCCACACTGCTGTGGGTCCCCTATGAGACCTCCTCCAACCCCTAATAGCCTCACCCAAACCACAAGTATTAAACAGTAACACAACACAAGCCCCTGGGCTATAACGTAAATGGAAGCCGCCCAGCTATACCCACGTTCAAGCCTACTGGGGATACTTCATCCCGCAGCAGTGTCAGACGCTGCTCTTGCATTCAGGCTTCTCCTCTCTTCCGTGAGAGAGAGCTCCTTCCTCCTTAGCTGCTGGCAGGGAACTGCCAGCCTGGCTCAGCCCTTGGGCTTTATATGGGAACTAGGCCTTATATGGGAGCCAGGCCCTGCCCCCTCTGGTTGCCCTGGCAACCTGCAGCTGGGCTTGTCCCTCACTGCTAGGGTTCCTTCCCTGGCAGTTTTTTCCTTCTTAGGAGCAGTGCACCTCAGTGCTGTGCGACACAAGATATGCTAGTTTAGTTGTTCAGACCACCAGTTGTCACTGCTCCATAAATCACAGAAGTCAAGTAAGCATTTAGAGAGAGAGAGAGAGAGAGAGAGAGAGAGTGAGTGTGTGTGTGTGTGTGTGTGTGTGTGTGTGTGTGTGTGTGTGTGTGTGTGTGTGTGTGAAAGTTAAAATTTCCTCCTTCAACTTGTAAACTCAGGACAAAAGCCTTGCCCCTTGTTACTACTGTATCTTATTTCTGTGTGCACCGTGAAACTAGTATGTTCATATTCCATTCTCTCACTCAATCTTGAAAAAGCATGATACTTCAGTGGCCTAATTTTAATGTAATTGACCATGTTTACAACTTGATCAAGAACAGTTTTTAATTCATGGCATATAGTTTTCACTAGAAGACCCTCTCAATGAAGGAAACAGTTGAGTTCTTTACAGCAAAAGAATTGCATTCTTCTTATTCCATCATCAACAAAACAAATAAAAGCTAAGAATTGGCATTTTCCACTTAAATCTGTGGATTCTTCCACCTGAAGAATGAAAGTAGTAGCCATTTTAACTTTTTCACTTTATTTAATATTCTCTGAGATGTTGTGTATAACTCTTCTGACAGTATGATTGGACAGCAGAATGTTGCCAGTATCCTTTTCAAAATCCTTACCCTACTTTGTTCCTTGAAAGTATCATTGTCTTGCCTAGTATGACCTTTCATTTGTTTAGCAATCAATACTGCAACTTTGTAACTGGTCTCCTATGCTTTATCAGATAGTTTTGAGGATTGTTTTTTCTTGAGAATTTAAGAGGCACATGAGACAGTTTCACCTGGTGTTGGAAGCAGTATGGCAGGCTGGAGATTGCTACTGCTACTGCTGCTGCTGTCATCAGTGCCACCATCAAGTGGAAGTGTCCTTTGTGCCTGTTTCCAGGAAGCAAGTGTGAGACCAGACCAAGGGCTGCACTTTTTTCCAGCACTAAAGTGCAGCTGCAGGAGCTGCTTCTCATTCAGGTTCCATGTGCCTTCCAGAAACTGAGGAGTGGGGCAGTTCTACCTGGTAGCAGTAGCATCTATAGGCTGCTGCCTCTGCTGCCACAGAGTGAAAATTGCTCCATGTGGTGTAGTTTTCCAGAGGTATGTGCAGCCCAACTGAAAAAAATCTGCAGCAGAGGTGTGGTGCATTTGACTGCGTTACATTATACAGGCAGATACACCATTTCTGCTTCAGCCACTTTTCAGCATGAACCAAACCCAGAAAAATTAAAGCAGAAGTGGTGTGTCTGCCTGCATGATTTAATGCTGTCAGGCACACCACCTATTCCGCAGCTATTTTTCATTTGGGGTCCATGTACCTCCTGAAAACTAAGGTACATGGGGAAATTTCACTCTGAGGCAGCAGTGTTTTGGTGCTGGCCTATAAATGGAAGGTCATTAATGTCGTGTTATGACTTCTTGAGTGTGGGCCTTCCCAGTGTCCCTGAGTACCTGGCACCCATCTCTTAGATGGATGCTGTGCCTACCTACAATGGGCACATTATCTTTTCCAGCAAAGAAGAATATGGTGCCCCAAAATGTTTCTAGCACTTCAAAAACTTCATTTGAGCGCTCTTAACTGAAATCAAGAGCATTTTGTTCCCTGGAGTTGTTCCATACCCCAGTTTGCAGCTTGCTCCATAGCTGAGTACTTTTACATGAACAGACGCATTCTCTTGACTGTTTTAGAATAGAATGTACTTTAACAAGTGAACATGTCTTCTATTCCTCTCTTTCTCTTGTCCAGTGCTTCCTGAATGTAGCATTGAGGATTCCCACAAAACTATTGGAATCTGAAGCCAGATTAGCCATTCCTTTTTCATATAAATGGCTAATGTTGAATGGATTTAGATCAAACTGAGACTTGTTTGTTTGTTTGTTTGTTTGTTTGTTTGTTTGTTCAAAAATGAGCTTGTAAATCTGTTTTTGTAAATCTACAAGCTCAATTATTGTAATGTGCAAGTGAATTAGGTAATCTCACAGGCAGATAGTGAAATTTGGCCATTTTACATGTTGTTTTTTGGTTTGCACATATGAGTCATATTTTTCTTGTATTTCTGAAATTCTGGTATATTGTCTCTAGGCGTCCTTCAATCCTCTGGATCATAGTGTACACATAAGAGGTCTAGTCAGATACCCGATTAATCCATTTGTGGCTGATGAGCCCAATTCCAGAGTGATACAGCTTGTTATAAGTTTCACAGATTCAGACGTTGTTTGAGTTGGAGTCCAAGTTTACAGCATGCTCCTTTCTTCTTTCTCACTTTGCTTCCATCCTCTGGATCAAAGCCACTCATTGTGTATAAAGTACTGGAAAAGGAAATATGTAGGGTAGTTTATTAATAATGCCAGCTTACTCACTACTTACTTGTATGGGAGTAATGTTCCTTCTGTTCTAAATTATAAATTTCAACAGCATTCAAATCCTGGCTGGTAGACTATTCAAATCCATATTGTGTTTTCCTGTTGTTTGTATTTGTACTGAGACCTATACAGAATGTAAACGTATGAATTTGCCTGTGTGTATCCCTTTGGTGCACTTCTGAAGCAGCAGTAGCCATTTAGTGGTGCATCATTTTTTTTTTTCCACTTTCTGGCGTATGTGAAAAATTGCAGTTGGGCTGAAACTGGTTAACTCTCAGTGATCAAACAGGGGTAAGGAAATAGGGTAGATCTCTACTTGCACATGAGAGAGTCTAGTACAGGGGCAGCAATTATTTCAGGCAGAGGGCCACTTAACAAGGGCTGGTAAGCTGTCTAGGGCTGCATGGATAGCCCCTCCCCTTGACAGGTGCCCCTAACCCCTGACCTTTACCAACAGAAATCCTTTGCCTTGCCCCCTGGAAATACTCCTTTTGGGAGGGGAGTTGCCATCTTAGAACCAGAAAAATACAAATCGTACACTAAAAGTCAAACACTGTGGCTGTGCACCTTTGGGTAAAGCCTGCCAGTTTAAGGGCAGAAAGCAGGCAGGAGCCAGGTGTCTGATTAGAGCAGCAATTTTAGGGCCCAGGTACATAAGTTGGGCCAACAGAGTGCTGCTGAGAGAGCGGAGGAGAAAACATCAGGCTGAGAAGCTGCTCCTGAAACAGCTTGGAGGTATGGTGAGGCTATGGGGAAGGAGGAGACCTCAATGTCCTGGACATAACAGAAGACTGCACCCTGCTGGGGAACGAAGGCCTGATGGAGCTACCTGTGGTGGGATAGCTCCCCAGAAATGCTAGGCCAGGCACCTTCCCCAGTGAAAGGCGAGTATGGGGTGCCTCCTAACCTCAGCCTCACATCCCTGGTGGGTTAGAGATTCTGCAGGGAGAACCCAGGCTCTTAAGAGTCCTGAGGCAGGGCCGAGGCTCATCAAGAGACCTGAGGCTGCAGTAGGGAGCTGAGTGGAGCTCCAGTGAGAAGTGCTGGTATGTGCCCCACAGAAGGGAGGCCAAGTGCTAGGCCGAGTATGAGGCCCGGTGTGTGCCTCCAGGTGGAAGGCCGGGTGCTAGGCTAAGAGTGAGACGTGGCCCAGTGAGAGGCTAAGAGTGAGAAGTGGCCCAGTGAAGGGACAAAAGTATGTAAGAGAGAGTCCAGCATGAGAGTGCTGGGACCACGAGCTCTGGTGGGGAGTAAGAGGCCCACGTGAGACTCTGGAGCTTGGGTCCCAGTGCCAAGTAGCTGAGAAACATCTGTGAGGCATGAGACTCGTGTAAGGAGAGCATGTTCAGAGGTCCTTGTCGACAAGGCGAGCAATGGGCAGCCGTCTGCCTTAGTATCAATGTTCATATTTGTATTATCAAGGCCAGGCAGGCAGGTGGTTAGTTCGGGGACAGGAGGTCGCTAGCACTGAGACCCAGCTCTGTTACAGCATGGTGTGGAGGAAGAGCATATTTTAAAATAACATATTTTAATTTTATTACAAGAAATATTTTTGTCATGATTTGTGTTGTGTACTGTATACAGAGGTGACTGCATAACACAAAAATAAATTATTAGTCTTTTATATTGTGTGGGGAGTGTGGTTGGGTGTGTGGGTATATGGTAGGGGGTGGTAGGTGGGAGGTTGTGGTGTGTGTATGGTGGGGCATGGGGTATGTGAGAAGTATGGGGGTGTGGTGGGTGTGGAGTTTGAGGGAATGTGGCTGTGTAGGGAGGCATAGGTTATGTTGGGGAGTTGTGTGGCATTTGTGGGGTATGGCTCTGGAACACACTATTCTCTCTTGCAGCCAATGCTGGGAGGGCGGTGAGGGGGGTGTGTGTGGTGTGGGAGGGGTGTGCTGGAGAGCGCTGCCATGGGCAGAAGGTCTGGGCAGAACACAATTCATTGGGTGCCATGGGCCGGATGAAAGTGCCTGGCAGGCCAGATCTGGTCTGTGGGCTGTATTTTGCCCACCCCTGGTCTAGTAGATCAGTGTTTCATGCTGAAGTGAAGATAATCTCCTATTTTTTCTAGTTGTGAGTCTGATTGAAAGAATTATGCCTAAAAATTGTTCACAACTTTCTTGATCTGATCTGACTGCGTTTATTTAAACTACTGATTACTTAGGTGTTTGAATGTAGTATTGAATTATTGGATAATATGTTAAAATATTTCTTTTTCCTATGTATTCTGCAGATGACTCTATTCCCTCTGTCACAACTTTGGTTCGTGGGACGTCTGGAAGATTTGCATGGGCCCAGCAGCTTTGCCTTTTACCAAGAGGAGCCAAAGCAAATCAAAAGGTTTTTGTCAAAGCCCACAGAAAAATCTTAGAGAGACTCTGCAAAAATGTCATTATTTTAATGAAATAAACCCACAGAACTAGTGATTTATATGTAAGGTTGAAATTGCACCCTAAACTATGGGTGACCTGACACACCTCTGGTGATTCTTTAAAAACTTTTTATAATATGTATTAAAATATTCATAGTGGATGAAAGCATTGTTTGTTTCCACATGCAAAGGTAACACATACTTCTTCTTTTTGCTTTTGTTTTGTGTGTGTGTGTGTGTGTGTGTGTGTGTGTGCATGTGCACACACCCAGAGAAATAAAAGTATTAGGCATGCAGCTGTTTGTGCTTTAATATTTAGACATGAGTGAGTTTTTAGTGGAGGTGATCCTAGGATGCATCCGGTGAGACATTTCTGTTTAAAATTAGGGAGGTATTAATGCCATCGTACAAGACTTCATCTAAAGTAGCGTGTAAAGTCTGGTCACCCATGTTGAAGAAACATGAATTCAAAATGGAAACAGTGCGGAGAAGGCTATTAGGATGATCAGAAAATGCTTTGTCTGTCATATGAAAAGAGATTAGAAACAGCAAAATGAAGGTTGAGAGAGAGATTGCTCTGTAACATACATTGTCGGTGGGTGTGTATATATGTATATATCAGTAATAGAGAAGAACTATTTAAGATAAAGAATAATGTTGGGACAAAAAAAATAGACTATATCAAGGGCCCTCAATCTCTGGCCCACAAGCCAAATCTAGCCCACAAAGCCATCATATCTGGTCCGCATTAATATGGCCACCCTCCTTCTTGCCAAATTCCCAAACTCCAAGCCCCAAACAGTTGGTTGGAGCCAGGCCCATTCCACCACCTCCTTCACGCTCTGTGTCTGCATCAGGACTTGGCCACACCCCCTTACCTCCCTGCAGGGCTGGTTGGGGCCTGGCCATGCCCCCTTCCTCCCCCCCTCCCCCCCGCAAGGCTGGGTAAGGACCAGGCTACACCCCCTTTCCCCCACAGGGCTGGGCCATGGCTCTTCTTCCTCCCCCCGCCCCTGGATTGGGGCCAGGCCACAACCCCCCTACCACCCCTATAGGTCTGGGTTAGGACCGAGCCACACCCGCTTCCCACCATGGGGCTGGGCCATGTCCCTCCCCCTGTGTCTAGATCAGAGAAGGGCCATGCCATCTTCCCTCCCAGACAATGCCCCCTTTCCCCTTGCATCTAGATTGGGACCTGGACCATGCCCCCTCCTCCCCTGGCTGATCCATACCCCCTTCTCCACAATGCATGTAAGGCCCCCTCTACATGTTACATGCATTGTGCAATTGCCTAGTTAATTGTGCAATTAATTTAAACCAACTACACATGCAAATTAACTATCATGCCTTAAAAATGCCCAACCAGTTATAAAGTTAGAGCTGGAACATATGGAATACCTTTATAACTGGTTTCTAAGTGGAAGCTAGAAGAGGGCAGTTTATACCTAAATGAAACAGCTGCTGCATTACCAATTTAGTTTCTACTTACCTCAGGACTGAGTGGTCAGACTGAACAGTGGATCAGTTTAACATACATTAAGTTACACTTCCATTTTCCCCTTATCTTTTCCTTAGTATGACCATGCTCTAAAGCCAGGGGTTGGTAGTGTTTTCCACAGAGGGCCTGAATGACTCAGCTTAGATCCAAGGCAAACTGTTATTAGGACCTGGTCACCACCCCTTCTCTCCATTGCCCATCTACGGCACAGCATGCTAAAACTCCTGCTGCCTAGCCAGGGTGTGGCACAGGTGTGGGTAAAGCCTCCTGCCACTGAAGCTCCTGTGCTGTAGGCCAGATCCAGTGGTTCTGCAGGCCGTATCCAACTCATGGCTTAGGTTGCCAACTCCTGCCCTAAAGGGAAGAGTCTTCCTTTGCGTGTAAAATGCACTTTGTTGTTAATGGCAGACAAAGTTCCTTGGGTGAATCTGATATCTTTTATTAGACCAACCCAAATAGTTGGAGAATAGTTATTAAGCAAGCTTTCGGGTTCAAAAACCCTTCGTCAGGCTGAGGAAGTTTCAGCAGTTGGTGCTCTTCCTGGATGGAATGAAAAGTAAAGCAGCCAGCGACTGGGCTGGTACGCATACAAGCATACCATTTGTTGTTAATGGAAGCCATTCCACATGTAAAGTCATTGTCACCTTTTACATTGTGTTTTTCTGTTTCTAAAGAAATACCTTTTTGACTTTTTAAAAGAACTACTTAAACAGCACTCATGCTGAAAAAAAATTATCATCACCAATGGCTTATGCTCCATGAAAACCTTTAATAGTATCTTAATTTTATTGCTACCCTCTTGATAGTGGTTTTGGATGATCTGATGGTTGTGAGGAACCAGTAGTACTCCCTACAGCAAAATGTAGTAAAAATTAATAGTATGCAACATTCCTCAGTCTGACGTGAAA